CTGTCTTTGAGCTCACAAATTATTGCTTTTGCTTGATCAATTCTGCTGTTAAGAGGCTCTGATGCATTCTTTAGTATGTCAGCTGCATTTTTCAGCTCCAGCATTTCTGCTTGATTCTTTTAAATTATTTCAACCTCTTTCTTAAGTTTATCTGATATGATTCCAAATTCCTTCTCTGTGGTATCTTGAATATCATTTAGTTTCCTCAAAACAAGTATTTTGAATCCTTCTAAAAGGCCAACTCTCTGTCTTTCTGGGTTTGGTCACTGGTGCCTGATTAATTTTCTTTGGTGAGGTCATGTTTTCCTAGATATGCATTAGTAAACATGCTGTGAATGTTCATTGGTGTCTGGGTGTTGAAGAATTAGATATTTATCATAGCCTTTGCACCTTGAGATTGTTTGTACCCGTTCTTCTTTGGAAGGCTTTCCAAGTATTTGAAAGAACTTGGGCATTGTGATCTAAGTCTTTGGTCACTGTAGCCATCTCTGCATTAGTGGCCACCCCAAGCCCAGTAATGCTGTGACTCTTGCAGACTCGTAGAGGTACTGCTTTGGTGGTCTTAGGGAAGATCCAGAATGCCCTGGATTATCAGGCAGATTCTTGTTCTCTTTCCCTACTTTCCCCCAAACAAACGGAGTCCTTCTTTGTACTGAGCTGCTTGAAGCTGGGGGAGAGGTGACCCAGGCACTTTTATGTTTACCACCACTGGGACTGCTGGGTCAGACCTGTAGCCAGCATAGAGCTAGGTCTACCCCAAGACCCTTAGTGTCAACTGCCTTGCTACTGCTTATGTTCCACTCAAGGACCAAGGACTCTATTATCAGCAGGTGGTGAATCCAGCCAGGCTTATGTCCTTTCCTTCAGGACAGCAAATCAGCCCCTTGTGGGTGCAGAGATGTCATTCAGGAGCCAGGGTCTGGAATCAGGGACCCCAGGAGTCTGCTTGGTGTTCTACCCCATCATATACCACAAACTTGTAACTGAGCTGGTACCGAAGCTGCAAGACAAAGTCCCCTCTACCCTTCCCTCAAGCATAAAGAGTCTCTCCCCATGGCCACCACAGCTGGGAATTTGCTGGGGCACACCTCAAACCACATGGTTTTGAGAATCACCCAAGGCCTCTAGTGAATACTGCCAGGCTATCACTGTTGTTTATTCCGAGATGAAGAAGTCTTTAGTTAGCAGGTGATGAATCCTGACAGGACAGGGTATTTCCTTTCAAGGTAGTGGATTCCCTTCTGGCCCAGCGTGTATCCAGAATTGCCACACAGGAGCTAGGACCTGGAATGAGGGCCTCAGGACTCTGCCTGGTACCCTATTCAACTGTGGCTGAGCTGGTATCCAAGTTGAAAGACAAAATCCTCTGTACTCTCTCCTCTTGTCTCCTCAGGCAGAAGGAGGAAGTCTCTCCCAGAGCTGTAAGCTGCACTGCCTGGGGTTGGGGGAGGAATGACACAAGCACTCCCTTGCCACCTCAGCTGGTGTCTCACTACGTTGTGTGCCCCTCAAGTCCACTGGCTCTGAGCCCAACACAGCACCAGAACTTGACCAGGAATTGTGGTCTTTGTGGCCTAGGCTGCCTTTCAGGTTTATTTAGAACCCTAGAGTACTTTAGCCTGTAGTGACAGGGCTAGCCAGAACTCAGGTTCTGGCTGCTGGGATGGGCAGTTTGCCTCTGGTTAGGGCTGGCCTAAATGCTCCCTCTGTGGGTGCTGGCTGAGTTCTGCCCATGTTCCTTTCTGCTGTGACAGGGCAACACTGAGTTCTAATACGGTCACTGCCTTCTCCTTCCTGCAAGATTCCCTGTGCCACATGGCCACTACTGGGGGATGGTGGAGGAGTGGTGTGAGTGATTCAGGACTATCTTTCTTACCCTCTTCAGTGCCTCTTACCTCAATATGGTGTTAAAATCAGGTACTGTGATCGCTTACCTGAGTTTTAGTTCTTATGAAGGTGCTTTGTTGTGTGGATAGTTGTTCATTTTGGTATCCCTAAAGGTGGGGGTGGGGGTGATCAACTGGTGGAAGTATTTATTTGGCCAACTTGCTCCACCTCCTCTCTCCATCTTCTAGTTCTAAAAGATTTTTTCTTTTCCTTTTCGCTCCTTTCTTGTTATAAGGTATTTAATGTTGACAACAACACTGCCTAATAGAAACATAATGCAAGCTGCAAATGTGGGCAACAAATATTTAATTTTTATAGTACTCACGTTGAAAAAGCAAAAAGAATGAGATAAAATTTATTTTAGTAATATATTTTATTTAATTGAATACAGCTAGCCCTCTGTGTCCAGAGGTTCAGCCTCCGTGGATTCAACCAACCATGGATCAAAAATACTTTTTTAAACTAAAACTATATTTAGTTTAAAAATAAAAATAACAAAACAACAATTAAAAATAACACAAATAAAAAACAATTCAGTATATCAACTATTTATATAGTATTTATATTTTATTGGATATTATTACTGATCTAGAAAGAATGTGCTTAGGTTATATAGAAACTCTACACTATTTTATACAAGGGACTTGAATATCTGTAGATTTTGGTATTTGTACTGTTCCTGAAACTAATCCCCTGTGGATACTGATAGTCAACTGTATATACAAAATATTTCCATTTCAACATGTAACCAATTCAAAAAAAATTTTAATGAGAGATTTTTGCAGTCCTTTCTTCATATGGAGTTTTCAAAATCTGGTGTGTATTTTATATTTTCAGAACATCTCAATTTAAAATAGCCATATTTCAAATGCTCAATAGTCACATGTGGCTAATGGCTTTTGTATGGAACAACATGGTTTTAGACCATCAAACCTAAAGATAAAAATTGCTAACCAGTCATTCAAAGCCATTTTCTGAATAATTTATCTTTTCCTTACTTACATCCAAAATGACTCATTTATTTATGTACTGATATCTTGTATGTATGTATGATACTCAATACAAATTGGTAGAATGAGTGAATGATAGAATGGCATTGTGATTTATTTTGGGAAGATATTAAAGAACCTGGGTGAGGGGGAGGACCTAACATTAATAATACAGACTGTATTGAATATGTGTTGCATCCCTAACATTAGACCAGATACCTGGAAATTATTGTATTATATACTGCCCATGGCATATTTTATAAGATTGATATGATTAGCCTCACTATTAAAAATAAATTTAAGGCTTAGCAATGTTTAGTAACTTGCTCAAGGTTAGGAGCACAGTTAGTTGCAGAGCCAGATTTGAAACTACATTTGTCTGATTCCAGACTGAACTCTTTTTACTACACCATACTGCGTTATAAGATAAGACCATGAGGCTGAAGAAATCGCAGAGAGTATAAATTCATTCTATCAGGTTAGAAAAGAGATTATTGTTTACTGTAGTCAATGTAATTTTCTCTCACTTTAATATCACCTGGAGAGAGTAGCAAAATTCTTTCATTGTTTCCACAAATCTTTCAATTTGTTTCTAAAACATTTATTGAAAGGGTATTTAGAAAATTATATTTCATTAGAGAGGAAGAAAGAATATGTAACCTATATTTTACAGTGCAAAATGGAAATGATAAGTGATTAAATAGTTTCACAAAGGTATTAGTAGTAGAATCATGAAGTTGCTATTATTACATTCCTCTTCTCAACATCTTCTAATCACTAAAAACTGTCCTCATTAGATTGAGGTTACAAACTAGGATGCTAAATTAGGTACGTCTCTTCTTTACCTATTCTGTAAGGTAGACTGCCTGTTGAAAGTCAGATAATAATGCATTCCTGTGCATATGTAATTGTACAGATAATTGCCTCTATCATTTAAAAATATCATTTGCCAAAATGGTGTGTATGATTAATTATGTACATTTATCATTGAGTAGACTCGAGTACATTATAAAATCCTCTCTCTATGCTCATGCATCTTTCCTCCCTTCTTGTTTTTTTCAATGTAAGTCATTTAGTAATTCAAAATTTTTTTTTATTATTTCTTAAGCCATAATTCACCTGCATGGGAACCAGACGTTAAGTTCCCTTGTGGCTGCAGAAATGTTGCTTTTTTAACTTAAGATATCAAGAGACAAGGATGATGTTTAAAATCTCCCTTCTTGATTTATGAATGCCTCTAAAGTTAAAATCCTGGAGAGAGGGCCATTTACTGGTATTCGGGTATCTTTAGTGCCATTTCTTCAGCTCCAAACTGTACATTGTTGGGCTTCAAAGTCAAGTGGTACCAGGCCAGACATGGTGGCTCATGCCTGTAATCCCAGCAGTTTGGCAGGCTGAGGGGGGCGTATCAACTGAGGTCAGGAGTTTGAGACCAGCCTGGCCAACATGGTGAAACCCTGTCTCTACTAAAAACACAAAAATTAGCCTGGTGTGGTGGTGGGTGCCTGTAAGCCCAGCTACTCTTTAGGGTGAAGCAGGAGAATTGTTTGAACCTGGGAGGCAGAGGTTACAGTGCACCAAGATTGTGTCTTGACTACATAGACATCTTTAATTTGGATTTACCTGTCAACCTGCCACTCCAATCCAGCCTGGGTGACAGAGCCAGACTCTTTCTCAAACAAAACAAAACACAGCAAAATCAAACAAAAAAACCTCCCCAAAAAAACAAAGTCAAGTGGTCCTAAGGAAAGAAAAGAATTAATGAATTAAAAGTATAAAAGTATATAGTAATCTCGAAATCCTGACCAGCAGAACTTACCTATAACTAATGTAATTAGTTTACATTATTAGATTACAGTATTAGAAGCTCTATGCTTCTGCCTTGCCATAGAATCTCAGAAGAGCATCTGGAATGATCCCATTAGACCTAAGTCTGATCCTCAGCTCTGAACTCCTCACTCTTTCCCCTCATTCTGGACTTTATTTATTTGAGATGGAGTTTCACTCTTGTTGCCCAGGCTGGAGTGCAATGGCATGATCTCAGCTTGCTGCAACCTCTGCCTCTCAGGTTCAAGCAATTCTCCTGCCACAGCTTCCTGAGTAGCTGGGATTATGGCACCAGACACCACGCCTGGCAATTTTTTGTATTTTTAGTAGAAATGGGGTTTCACCATGTTGGCCAGGCTGGTTTTAAACACCTTTCTGACCTCAGGTGGTCCACCCACCTCGGCCTCCCAAAGTGCTGGGATTACAGGTGTGAGCCACCGTGCCCAGTTCGTTCTGGACTTTAAAAGCCTGTTTTGACAAAGGCTTATGATGCCTAAATGATCTGGCCTGTGCTACTCCTAGGATATTATACTTCTGCTTGTTCCTTTACAGGCTCTCCCCAGCCACTGTGGCCTCTTGCTGTTCCCCAGATACTCTGTGCACTCTTCTGTTTCAGAGCCACTGTGCTTGCAGTTCTCTTTGCCTGGACCAGCTATAGCTGTCTCCCGTATTAGTGCAGCTGTTCCCTTACCCATCTGAGATGTTTACTCAAATGTCATCTTCTCAGAAGGGCCTTCCCTGTCTTCTGGCTCTAAGATTGCAACCCTCTCCCCAAGCAGAAACTGCCTATTACCTTGCCCTGCAAGATTGTTTCCTTTGTATGTATTACTCTTTAATGTATCATATATTTTACCGATTAATCTTGCTTATTAATTTCTCCCTCTACTAGAAAGTAAGCTCCATAGGGCAGAGATTTTAATCTGGTTCACTGATGAATTCCTAGCTCCTGGAATAGTGCCTGGCATATAGTAGGTGCCCAATAAGTGTTTCCTGATTGCATGAATGATGACATCTTCTATTTTTATTTGTCAACACTGGCAACCCTACTCCCCAGCTTAGGAAACGTAGTTACCTGTTGCTCAAACCTATATCCACATAAGTTAAAATCCCAAAAGAGGACAGCTCTTGCAATACTAGCTCCATTTACAAATCTCAACGAGGACCCTGAAAGGCCTAATTTATTAACATACTCTCCCCTGCAGTGGTGATAGGGCTGTGGTGGTATTGCAGGGTGCCAGGTCATGGCAATGGATAGGTTCACTAGCATCTGAAAGATGGGAGAAGAAGTCCTCCAACTTAAGAATGTCAAGCAGGCAGGCAGCATTAGTTCACAATAGGATCCAACACTTTTATAATAAATTGCTTTTTTAATTGTCTGCGCTGCCTGTTAGACTATAATATAAGCTCTATGAAGTCAGGGAACAGCTTGGTATTGCTTGTCATTATAGCCTAAAAACATGGCACACATCAGAATATACTTGTTCTCAATAAATTAATTAATGAATAAATTATTTTGTATGTTTGTGAATGAATACATGAATGAATGAATGAGTGAATAGCAAACCACATTGAAGGCAAATTATTAACAGGTTGTTTTGTGGCATCAGTATAAGGGGGATGTTATGTGACATAAATGTTTAATGGTATTATGTTGAGACAGCTAGGCAGAACCATCCATAATTTGGATTTACCTGTCAACTTGCCCAAATACCACTTTCCTGGAGTATTCAGGAATGAAAACTATGAATTTGCCTCAGGTAAATTTGTTTTCTTTGCTCCATTTCTGACTGGCTCCCTTTGAGGTCATCACATTCCTTTTTTAGAAATGGAAAGACTTTCAGTTAGATCTGGATCTAGGTTGCAAGTATTTCTTTAAGGTGGGTTTTGTATCTCTCTGCTGGGGTCTATTGTGTTGAGCCTCTCTGTTTAAACTTTCTAAGGGAAATCCTTTTCCAAATATTTTGAGAGACACTTGACTATCCCTCCCTCTTATCTCCCCTGCCTTTTGTATAATGCTGAGATCTGGTTCCTAATAGCAATCACAAGGGAACACACAGTGTAAGGTACTAGCACACTCATTCATTTATTCATTCATTCAATATATATTTATAGAGTGCCTACTACATGCTGTGCACAATGCTAAGCTTTGGAGGGATAATGGAAAGCAATTGAACTAGAAGAGGAAACAGATGAAATAGTCAAACAAATACAGAATTTCAATCAGGGCACAGGTGGTATAAAGAAAATGACCTCAGTGCATTGTAGTTATTTAGAGGAGTCTTGGTCCATTCTCTGGGGCAAGAAGAGATTTGACCAAGGAAGTGACATCTGAGCTGAGGTTTGAAGGAGGAATATAAGTTAACCACACAGGACACTAAATGTTTCGAACAGAGGAGATGGCATAAACAAAGACCTGGAGACAAGGAGCTGCGTGGCTTCTTTGAAGATGTGACAGAAGGCCAGGGTGGCTGCAGTTATTGATGTGGGAAAAAATTCTATGAAGAGAGGTCAGAGGAAGGCAGGAATCAGCTTGGCCAGGCTTTGGTACCCATGGTAGGGGTTTTATCTTTATTTGGAAAGATATGGAAAGGCATCTAAATGGTGGTGGAGGATGGCATCTGGATTACCCTTTGGAATAGATCAATCTGATTGCAGAATGGAATAGACATTGGACAGATATAAGATTACATGGTTGAGACCAGTTAGGAGGCAATTTGATATAGAAATCAAACTTTGAAAAATGTATTTTTACATTCCTTGACAGAATACTGAGTCCTTTGCTTTATCAGGCCTGTCAGCTAGAAGTTCTCATTTGGGAACTGGTGGGGGATTTTATTCTGATCTTGCCATGCTGGAGAGCAGGGGTGCCCAGAGCAGGGTAGCTAGGTCTGTTGAATGAATAGATGCAGTTTTGGGACTTGCTGTCTTTGAGGTATCAGTACAGTGATGGGGAAAACTCAACCAGAGCCGGGTGCAGTGGCTCATGCCTGTAATCCCAGCACTTTGGGAGGCCTAGGAGGGCAAATCAACCAGGTTAGGAGTTTGAGACCAGCCTGGCAAACATAGTGAAACCCCATCTCTACTAAAACTATAAAAAATTAGCCAGGAGTGGTGGTGGACACCTGTAATCCCAGCTACTGGGGAGACTGAGGCAGGAGAATCACTTGAACCCAGGAGGTGGAGGCTGGGGAGATGGTCCTGATAGTGGCAGGCAGTAACTCCTAGAGCCGAGGTTGGGAGACAGCCACACACACGCAAAAACCCATAATTGGAGCTGTAACTGTGGTTGGAATTGTTAAAGAAGATCATGTTGGTAAAGGAGTCTAAAGAAAAACACCTATATTTAAGGAATGGGTACTATGTATTTATTCATTTCACAAATAATTATTGTATACTATGTGCCTGTACCTGGGCTGTGAGTGACAGATGAAGTGGTGGAAAAAAGCAGTTGGGGATAAAAACAGAACTCTGCAAGTGTGAAGTAACACACTCCAAAGGAAGAAGGGAGGGTAGCCAATGGTTCAGTTGCTGCTGAGGAAGAAAATGCAGTGAAAGCTGAAATGATGACTTGGAGTTTGTGGATTAGCCTCCACCCTAGGTGGCACATGTTAGAAACTTGGATGAGTAAACCTGGGCTAGTAGTAAACAGACCCGGGGACTGCACGTAAGGGACACTGACAAAACCTTCCTCCCATTTTAGAACTTTACAGGAAGATGAGATTCAACACATACTTCCCTTTATATCTCACTTCCTTGAAATACATCTATTCCATCTACAGAAAGAGAGCTGTACCTTCCTGGGCCTGCCATGGCTGACAGCCAAGAGCAGAGATGTTATAATTTGAAGTTGACAGCAAGATGACCCTTACAGAGTCACTATAGTTTCTGTCTTGTGGCAGATCCTCCTTCTGAAATATGGAGGTGCCATGATGTTAAATCAATAGTAGTGAGTGATGCGGAGATTTGAGTTGAAGCTAAACATAGCTTCCTTGGATTTTACCATTTCATTTTTCTTGCTGGACACCACTTTAGAAGAAGAATCACCTCTGGATAAATCATCTGCTCAGGTTTGCTATTCTAACCAAATGACATTATCCAAAGAGGATCAGAAAAGCCTGAATGTTAATTGTATTCATTTAGGGTTCCATGTAAGGCTTGTGTTGAAGACAAAGTCTCCCTATGGAATTTATAAAGTAGCAGAAACAAACATTTCTGTTAGAGATATTTGGAAAGTTGTGATTACCAATTACAAATTTAACACAAAGTAATTCAGTAATAAAAAGGATAACAAAATTTGAGCTAAATAATATTCAAAGTTTTATTTTCAATAATGTAAGAAGAAAATGAATTTGTTTTTTGTTGCTGTACAACAAACCACCTCAAAATGTAAGGACTTACAAGAACCATTGACTGTTTAGGCTGGGCTTTGGGCCACAGTTCTTCTAGTCTCAACTGGGCTTCTTCATGCATCTTTCTATAGGCAGCCACCTGCAGACAAGCCTAATGGCAGGCTTGTCTGCATGGCAACTGGACAGCATTCCTAGAGGAATGCTTGAAGACCACTTGAGGCATGGCTCAAAATTTGTACAGCATTGCTCTTGCCAAATTCTGTTAGCCAACGCAAGTCACAACATCAGTTCAGAATTTAAAGGGTGAAAAAACACAACGCTATCTATTGATAGGGAGGGGGACTAACTGCAAAATTACACTGTAAGGAGGTGATTTTGGCCATTTTTGCTATCTACCACAGATAATCCATCATTTTTATATATAGGTAGATAAAATGTACAATATTTGAACACTACCTTTGGAAGGGAAAATATTTTTATTCCTTTCCTTGATGGCAGTTTCAAACTAGGACCTTCCTTAAAGCAACCAGTGAGGATGAAATTGTGTTAATGAAATCATTTTCTACTTCATTTTTGTTTCTGTAACTGTAAGGAAAATTCTCATGTTTTCAGTGGCTGTTACTCTAGGTCTGTGTGACATGACCGATCATAGACAAAGCAGAACTTCTTAATGGCAAGAAACACTATCTAGCTGCTGGCCTGGTAATCTTGTATAAAAATTTCAGAATTGCCATTGGGAAAATAACATTTACTTGACAAATGGTGCTATTTCTATTTTGTCTGCCCAATTTTAAACTGTCTCTTATTAAAATGGCAAATTCAGGCCCAGAATATATTGAACAAGTTAAATGTGTAACTGGAAGATGATACACACTTTACCACTTCACTATGTAACATGTAGACTTATGGATGCAAGGACATTTCATGGAAGGGAAGTTTTAAATTATTTTGCATGCATATAGAGAAAATAAAACTTTTTGATGTCTTGGCGCAAACTGAATGGGATCTCAATAGCCCACGTAGAACTTTAAGATGATTTATTATTATGCTAATATTGTAATGTAATATTTATTAAGCATTGGAAGCGTGCAGAATACTAGATAGTCCACATAAAAGATCCTGATGGATTTCAAGGAAAAGGGCTAAAAATGCTCTCTCCTAATCCACAGGAAAAGAGGGTAATTCAGAATCTAGCTGAACCAATAAATCCTATTTAATTTAGCATACATCACATGCCAAAAAAAGAGAGACTAATGGAAATGGAAAGTGATAATCTCTGATTAAAATGTAGTCATCTTAAGAGCACACGTTCCTCTCCAGACTTGAGTTTAGAAAGAGTCAATTCAGTAAAATATTTCTCATTTAAAAAAAGTTTTGGCCAATAATCCTCTGCATTATTACCCGACGTTCTAAGATCATAAGTTAAAATGGTTTCTATAGAGACTAGCTCTATAACTATTATCCCAAACTACAAGATGAAATGCTTTTAAAAAAATTATACCTTAAACTGTAACTTACCAGCATCACAATAAAATTTACAATGTTGGCATAAGGCATTTAGAAGTCTCAGACTAGAGTTATAAATCTGCAGTAGGAGAACAATTTTTCCCAGACTCAAAAACTAACATCAAAATCCCCCTAAATAAGTCTTTTATCTAAAAAAAAAATACACATAATATGAGGAAACAAGATCTTAGTTTGCCATAATTCTACACTTCACTTTGCTTAGCCAGTTTAGATCTGGAGGGAGGAAAAAAGTAAAGCCAAAGCTAAAACCGGGGCGTAGAAACAGCATTTCCTATCTCATCTGATCATGCTTACTGACTAAGGTTATATCCTCTATTCATCTTTAAGTAGAATTCCCACAGAAGTTGATGAAAATATTTGGTGAAAATTGATTGAAAAATAAGTTCTTTCTCTCTCGTATGCTGTCTCTCTGTCTATATGCTCATTACAGATGTGCTGTGTGTGTGTATCAACAAAATTAAAAAAAAATATTATTAGCCTTTGGAAGGTTCTAAGCAAGCAAAAGAATACAAAAATACATAGTTACGTGCTTTTTTTTTTTTTCCCTGTTGGGAGAAACATATCCTAATTATTAGTTTGATTGCAGAAAAAAAGTACAAATTAACTTTGTTTCTGAATATTCTATTTAGAATCCTTCTCTAAAAATAAATAATGCTGTAGATGTCTATGATTACCATTATAATAAAACATAAGTACAAACATTTATTTTCTTTGTTAATATACATTCATGGTAATATGTATTATTTTAAGCAAGGAATATAGTATGCTATTTAAGAATTTGCAAAGAACAATTCAGGAGAGTATATTTTTTAAAACATAATGTATATATTTTCATTTTTTAGAGACAGGGCCTTGCTGTGTCATACAGGCTGGAGTGGTGTGACCATAACTCACTGCAGCCTTGAATGCCTGGGCTCTAGAGATCCTCCCACCTCAGCTGAGTAGCTGGGAGTACAAGTATGTGCCACAAACACCTGGCTATTTTTTTTTTTTTTTTCATTTTTAAGGTATGTACTTTTATTCAACTAGTGTTCACTTTTATTCAACTATTCAAGTCAGTGTACAGGTAAGCCCTGGCTGCCTCCACCCACTCCCAGGGAAACCAAAAGCCTTCATACATCTCAAGTTGAGGGACAAAAAAGGGGTAGCCACAGAGGCTAAAATGTTTCCAAATAAAAGATTAAATAAAATAAAGTATTAATTAAGGCATAATTTTAAAAAATTTTCATTACATAATTTACACAAAAGTGATGCTATTACCTCCTCTGTGTGGCCTTGGGTGAGGACTGGGCCATTCTCCTTAGAGAGAAGTGGGGTGGCTTTTGGAAGGGCAAGGGACTTCCTGTAACAATGCATCTCACGATATTTGGAATGACTATTTTAAAAAAGAACAGTGTACAATCAAAGTCCTGGGCCACATTATAGAACTCTGGGGGATGCTTGCTCCAAGTGACTACTGTCACCTTTACCGTTCCAGTTTTTAAATCCTGAGTCAAGCCAAAAACAAAAAACAAACAAACCCAAAACAACAAAAAAGCAAATAAAGCCATGCCAATCTCATCTTGTTTTCTTCGCAGGTTAGGTTTTGTCAAGAAAGGGTGTAATGCAACTAAATCACAGTCCGCCTAGAAGCATTTGCAGTAGATGACGGAGGGGCTGGACTCGTGGTACTCCTGCTTGCTGATCCACATCTACCAGAAGGGGGACAGCCAGGCCAGGATGAAGCCGCCCATCTACACAGAGTACTTGCGCTCGGAGGAGCAATGATCTTGATCATCATTGTGCTGGTCACCAGGGCGGTGATCTCCTTTTGCATCATTTTGGTGATGCCAGGGTATATGATGGTACCACCAAACAGCACTGTGTTGGCGTACAGGTCTTTGCAGATGTCCACATCATACTTCAAGATGGAGTTGAAGGTAGTTTCGTGGATGCAGAGATTCACAAGATTCCATGCCTAGGAAGGAAGGCTGGAAGAGTGCCTCAGGGCAGCGGAACTGCTTGTTGCGGATGGTGATAACCTGGCCGTGGGGCAGCTCATAGCTCTTCTCCAGGGAGGAACTGGAGGCTGCCATGGCCATCTTCTGCTCGAAGTACAGGGCAAGGTAGCATAGCTTCTCCTTGACGTCACACACAATTTCCCGCTAGCCATGATGGTGAAGCAGTAGCTTGGTGAGGATCTTCATGAGGTGGTAAGGTCCCAGCCAGCCAGGTCCAGATGCAGGATGGTGTGGGGGAGGGCATACCCCTAATAGATGCGCACAATGTGGGTGACCCCATCACCGGAGTCCATCACGATGCCTACACCTGGCTAATTTTAAGAATATTTTCTGAGACAAAGTCTCGCTATGTTGCCCCAACTGGTCTTGAACTTCTGGCTTCAAGTGATCCTCGGCTTCCCAAAGTGCTGGGATTACAGGCTTGAGCCACCACACTCAACCAGGACAATGTACTTTATTCTGATGGATCTTTTAGATTTGTAAAATACAGATAAACTTTATTTGGTAATTTTAATTAAAAAATCTGAAAAGGGAAATACAGAGAAGTAGAATGTATATTCACATTTTGATAGTAAAAGACAACCTGAAAATGGCTTATGGGAATAAAATTACTTACCAATTTAAGCTTTATGGTTGAAAACTGGTCACCTAACTGTACGTATGGTATATATCCTGAAATCTAGATAATGAAAAGTGATGTGGAAATTGGTTACATCAACCAGTCCTTGCTTGCTTTTTTTAAAAAATTACATATGAGCACATATGCATTTGTAATACATAGAAACATAACATATATTTACATATGTGCCTAATTATATGGTTTATGTTGTTTACCAAAACGACTGCTGAAAGTTCTGTGTGTTTAAGAAATTTGCTATGTTGGTTTTATTTAAAATATGTTTTAAAATGAGCAAAACAACAAATAGACTAAGTTCATAAATAAAAGCATTTTTAAATGCCTCTTTCAGGATATTGCAGCAACTTGCTAAACTGCTTCTGTTTCTCTGTAGATTTAAGGAAATGAACTTCAGCAAATCCCAGAAAAGGAAAGGGAGAATGAGGAAAAGGGAGAAAATTCATGACGGAAGTTGAAGGTCACAGGACTGAAAGGAGAGATGTGGTACTCTACAGATTTTTTTTTTTTTTTTTTTTTTTTCAGATTGTACACAGAAGAGATAACTAGATCAGGAATAGAAAAGGAGCTTTTCTTAAAGTCTCTGAGGAGAGAAAAGCCAGCAAAGAGTTATTTCTGAAGATTCTTAGGAACTTGTTATAAAAAAAGGTAGGGAGGGGAGAGTGCTTTATTGGTAACTTCAGTCTGTGGGCAGGACAGCTGAGTCACATTTTGGTGATGGGATCCGAGCTTCTTGGAGCTTCAGGATTTATTCTAAATGTTCTAGGAAAATAGCAGGGTTAGCTTAAATACCATTATGTTAGTCTTCTGTTAGAAAGCTTTATGTTTAATTATTATTTATTTAATTGTTGTTCTCCAGTTTATTTCCTTTATTATCTCTTCTAGATACTAGTTCTAATTTATCTGCCATATTAAGAGTTGCTTAGTCTATGGACTGAGGAATTTGATTTGCCAGCTTATTTCATTTATTTGTCCAGACACCTGAGGAAACAGAACTCTAATTCTACCTGGTGGCAGCTAATTCAAATTAAAAACTAGTCTAAGAAAGAAGATTAATCCATATTTAAGCTTTGCCCTGCAACCACATCTTGGAGATGGTACTCACATATAATTTTGTGCCACATAAAAATTATTTAAAAGTATCAGTATCACTTCACATTAATAGAGATCATGAAATTGTCTAAAAGTTTCAATATTCTGGCCTAATTGTGAGTTGGGCTAGTTCTCCGGATAAATAAGCGCAGAACTTACTTTTGCCTGAAATATTAAAGTAGTTAAGTAAAAACAAATTACCTGGATCAGTGGTTCTTAATCCTCTATGCTCATTAGTATTCCCTGGAGAGCTTTTAAGAATTGTAGATCCCAAGTCCCCCTCCGTTATAACCAACTAAAACAGGGAGTGGAGCCCTGGGATTGTGTGTGTGTGTGTGTGTGTGTGTGTGTGTGTGCGCGTGTGTGTTTTGTTGTTGTTTGTTTTTCTTAATGCTCTGTAGGTGATTCTCATTTGTAGCCAAGTTTAGAACACTGATCAAGGTAGTTCAAAAAATTAAATACCTAAATTCCTATTTGTGTTTTGAGGCATATAAATTGTTTCTTCAATGGTACTTGCTTTAAAACCACCAATGCACCCAGTGGCCTATAGCTTTAAATGGAAACATTCTTAGAATTGCAGATAAGCCCTTTTATAGTCCATTACCAACCTGTTTTTTCAGGTCTCAGCTCCCTATAACACTGTCTTGTCAAACTCAAAGCATTCGAACACTCTCTGCATTTTTTTTTTTGACTCCATGTTGTTAGGTTCTTGCTGTTTTCTTTCTGTTATACATTCATCTTCTTCTATACCTGGCAAAATACTTGTATTCTAATGGTCATTTAAAGGCATTTAAAAGTCATTGCTTCTGTGACACTGGGAGAATTATAATAAAATCATTTCATATAATGCTGATTTGTATAAATTTAAATCACATGAATATTTCCCTGAAGAGACAAAGTCACATTATCTAATGTAAGTGTACAGTTAATAATCTGGCTCTTCAAAGTCTATTCAAGTACAGCAGGTCCTCAACGCCGTTTGGTTCGACGTCACTCTGTCATAATAGTGATGAGAAAAAAAATCTATTCCAGGCCATGGCCGCTGTCCGTGTGGAGTTTGCACATTCTCCCCATGGTCTGTGTGGGTTTTCTCCAGGTACTCTGGTTTCCTCCCACATCCCACAGCTGTGCTTGCTAGGTGGTGTGTAAGCTGTGCACATGTCTAAATATTCCCAGTATGAGTGAGTGTGGGTGTGAGTGTTAGTGCACCCCGGGATCCTGTCCAGGGTTACTTCCCTCCTTGAGCCCTGAGCTCTGGCCACGCGCAATCCTGAACTGGAAAAATTGGTTAGATGATTTTACTTGTTTTTATCAATCTTTCTCAAGTGTATGTCTAGCTCACATTTATTTCAAAGTTTAACATTAGAAATGTTTTGGCCTTTATTTGGAAGTTTGGTGATGTTTTTGTGACTGAGATATGCACAAGAATTTAACTCTTGTTTATATCAAGTAGCCTATGGTGAAATTGGTTTCCTTATATATGCCACTTCGTTTAAAGCCACAATTTCCAAGAACCTATCCTTGACATTAAGTAAGGACTTACTATATCTATCATCCAGCCGCCTAGTAATTTCAATACCAATAATGACTTAGGCACATAATTCCAGAATAATTTGATTTAGGTTTATGAATTGTTTCATGTAGACATTCGAGTTTGTTATGAACAGTTGCAAATTTCAACATGTTATTCCAATCCTATGAATCACTTTAAGGAAGACCACAATGTACGCTTTTTTTGTTTTTCTGTTTAATATGGGACTATTCAAACTTTGAACAAGAGATATTTAAAATATTAGGACATCCATATTTTTCCGATGCCTTGATTTTTCCCATTTGGTTGTATGTATTTCAAATGGGAAATGAGTGGATACCGTTTCTTTTTCTTCACTTTTTTTGGCTTTAATGCCACAGGAAGCCAGCTTGCTAGCTCCCTGTTACCTGATAGTTTCCTGACTAAAAAGACTCTTCAGTGAGGATCAGCATTTTACCCAAGACAGGAGTCATGATATTTTTTTTCTAAAGATACACATATCTCTTAAAAGGGTCCAGAATATTTCCTGCAAAACTGCGTCTGTCATACGAGCACCTATTAGAGCCACTATCAGAAAAGCTAAGGAAAGAAATCCATCTTTCCTGCACCAGAAAAAACAGACACACCCTAAAATGAGCCAAGAACTTGAACATCAGCAAGATTACAGACCAGCGAAAAAAGTAAATAACATTTTAACTGAAAATTTGATTTGAAAAATAAAAGCTTATCCGTTGGTTCTCTTACTTAACTTTTCCCATTTTTTTCTCACTGCTGGAACTTTGTGAAACATACAGATGACGCAGGAGCATTTGTGTCGACATTCTGAATTTCAATTTTTAATAATTAGGCAGATGGTTGGTTTGTGGTAGAGTCCATTATTGTACAGATTGCAATTTGTTATCTAGTCACAAAATGTAAGTTACTTTCCTAGGACGATTTCGGGATCTCTTCAGATAGGAAATATTACTGTAATTGAAAAACGACCCAACTTTTATCCAAGAGCCTATAACATCTTGGTAACTCCGTGCCTCTATGAACTGTTTCTTTTCCTCTCAAGTCTTTATTGGTCGTAGCCCTAGATTTTCCATCAAATTCAATCCGGCCTGAGCTGCAGGCAATGGCCCTGCTGGGTGCGGACTGCAGGCCCACCACTGGAGGGCGTCTGGACGCTTCCAAACAGCTCTGAAGCGCCTGGAAATCTCAAGTCTGAAGAATGGAAGGCACAGGAGGCAGAACGTGAGATTAGATTTTATTGGGCTAATAAGTAAAAAGGAGAGCTGGCAGGTGTGGGAGCAAAACTAAACTGCCTTTTTTTCTCTTGGGGATCTGCCCTTCCCACTAATGCAGCAAACTCCCTAAAGAACATGAGAAAAATACCGCTGCTCCTGAGCCCGCAGACCCCGCAAGGGCGGGTCTCAGGGGCCTGTGGCCCCGCAGAGCAGGCGTCGGGCTCGCTCCCCGGGCGCTGGACCACAGGGGACGCATTCCGAGGCGCTGGGACAGTCTCGCTGCCAGGAGATCGCGCTTCGGTGGCGGCTGAAGACCCAGGAGTGCAAACCTGCCCTTGAAGTTCAGGACCGAGGGGCCTTTTCCAACAATAAAGGAACTGCTTTCCCTCTCTCATCCCCCGCCCCCGGCCCCAGTTTCTTTCCGCACCAGGTTCGTTAAAGGCGTTTATTCTTTGGGGAGTGGGCGGCAAATCACCCTCCAGGTTGAAATGGAAGAGGTGTGAGGTATTTCTGAAGGGCTCGTCTGCCGCATTCATTTCCTCTCTGTGGAAGGTTCGCACTGAATTGTAATCACTTTAAACTGTGATTTGCCTGATTTTTAAAAACGTGTTTTCAGAGCATCACTTTAAAGAAAACTTGCTTCCTGCCCAACAATCTTTAAATTCCAAGCGGGGAGAGGAGGGCTGAAAGGCACAGGAGGGGGTTCTCAGATTTCCAGTTCACCCAGCGCCCGACAGCGTGCGGCTCAGGGAGCTGAGGGAGATTGACAGGAACGCGCACTCCCTGAGGCTCCGTTCCAGCCCATTCGCCACCTGAGGGGCCCCAGAGACAGATGCCGGCTCTCCAGCCAAAGGGTGGGCACCGGTTCCTTTAAAATCGAAAGACCCTACTCCCAGGTAAAAAGATGTCAAATTATTTCTTTACCCAGACGGAATTCAGCACCCAAAGGGTTACACGTGGCTGCTGGGCTCGGGCGCAGGAGAGGGCGCCTCGGCACTCCCAGTAATTCAATTAGTCAGGTTTCTGGAAGGTGGGGCGGGGGGAAGGGGTAGGAGGCGTGGGGAAGGGAGGAGATTAGGAAAACGCCTCTTTCTCGTGGAGCAAACCAATCCGGTTGGAGTAAAGAGAGGAAAAACCCCCAATCTGCAAGCAAACAGCAGGCTCTTCCCTGACTGGCTGCTCCAGCTGCCCCCACCCCACCTTTCCCAAGTAAACTGCATGGAAGGAAAAAAGGAAGGCAGTCCACATGACCCGGGCCGCCGCGGCAGCAGCGCCGGCTGGGCCCGGGCTGGCGGCGCCTCCCCCTGCTCGGTCCGGAGCTCACACCCGCACTCGCGCCGCCCGCCTGCCAGCCCCGCGCCCCGCGCAACACGCCCGGGCGGAGCCCCAGCCCCCGCCCACGTCCACGTTCACGCGCGCGGCCTCGCGCTCTACTGAGGCTGCTGCTGCTGGGTCGCCGCCGCTGTCGGCTTTACACGCAAGTCATTAACGAGGGGGCGTGCCCGAGGAGATTTTTCCCATAAAGCATTTTTTCTCTCCTTTTTTCCCCCCTCTTTTGCAAAACTGACTTTTACAAAACCCTTTCCACTTCTTGCCAGTCGTTTCAATCCCTCCAGGGCTGCTCGTGCTGCTGCTGCTGCACTCAAGTTTATTTATTTTCCCGCCTGGGTAGGGGTTTTAGGATTCGGTTGGTGGTTTTCACCTCTGTTGCTGCTGTGTCTAAGGAGGGAGAGAGGAGCAGCTGCGGGAGGATCGGGAAGGTTTTCTGATGTAGTCATCGGGGAGGTGCCACTCGCTTGTGCGCTCTCTTTCTCTCGCTCTCTTTTTTCTTTTCACATTTCAAACTGATTGATGCATCTCTACAAGTTGCTGGGCTTGGACCCTCCGGAGTCGCAGGGACACTTCTGAGAGCTCACCCCCCGCTCTTGGCAGCGCGTGTGGGGGCTCAGTCTCCCTTCCGGAAGGCGATCAGAGACTGACATCAGCCCATCCAGGAGTTGGAGGGATCCATTTGAAAGTGATTGTTTCCCCTCCCGCTCTCCAGCCGAACAGTGGGGTTGGCGTCGTCTTGCAGGTTTGGGCATCCCAGCTCCTCCAGGCCGGCTGGTTCTTAACCTCTGCTCTTCATTCACTCTGGTGCACCCACATCCAGTCAAAGAAAGCACGCGCGAGAAATCCCCGAGGCTCTGCCTGCACCCGGGGTGCCCTCTTCTGCTACCGCCGCGGTCCGACTCCGCCGAGGGACCTGCTGCAGACGTGAAGAACCAAACTTTTCTTTGAGGTTTTCGAGGCAAGACCGCTTCTCGCCGGCGCAGCTGCCGCGTAACCAGTTCCAGGACATCGGTAGAGCTGGGTTTGCGGCTCCGGATCCCCACCCTTCTCAGCGCACCGCCCGGTACCGCAGCACCTACGACTCCTCTGAGATTTCGGGGGATCGCCCGGCTGACGCACAGAGGAGGCTGGGGAAAGGGGATCTCAGACTCCCGGGATTACAGCGCGCAGCCCCCATCTGCACGTCGCCTTCCTGCAGTTTCCCACCGGCCGCCAAAGTAACTTGAAGCGAAGCGGGGCGCAGTGCGAGGGCCCCAGGCGGCGGCAGAGCCGTGTGTAGTCCGCAGCGCCGACGCTGAGCCGGGCCCGGCGGGCCGGTGTATGTCTCCCCGCGGCTGCGGCGCGCAACTCCCGGTGACTGTGCAGCGCGCGCCGCCGCCTGCCCCGACCCGCGCTGCAGCCGCCCGGCCCGGCGCGCACCTCCCTCTCCCGGGGTGACCGGCCTGCCGCCGCCGCCCGAGACACAGCTTGGCACCCCTTCCCCCGCCCTCGCCGCCGCCACCACACACACGCACGCTTCTCTCCATCTTGTGATTCCTTTTTCCTCCTGAACCCTCCAGTGGGGGTGCGAGTTTGTCTTTATTCCCCCTACCCCACTGCCTTTTCTTCTCGGTCTCCTACCTCTCCCCAGCTTGGCGGGCGCCTCTTTCTTTTTTCGCCCACCTTCATTTTTATTTATTCATATTTATTTGGCGACTGCTTTCTCTCTGTCCCTTTCTTCCCTCCCTACGGATCCCCGCTCTCTCCCCGGAGTGGCGCGTCGGGGGCTCCGCCGCTGGCCAGGCGTGATGTTGCACGTGGAGATGTTGACGCTGGTGTTTCTGGTGCTCTGGATGTGTGTGTTCAGCCAGGACCCGGGCTCCAAGGCCGTCGCCGACCGCTACGCTGTCTACTGGAACAGCAGCAACCCCAGGTAAGCCAGTAAGGGGCGGAGAGCCGGGGCTAGCCGGGCCTCGGGGCCCTGCGGAAGGAGCGGCGGCGGGGAACGGCGCGCACCAGCCACGGGCGGCGCGCGCCCTCAGAGCCTGCGTCGCCTGGGCGCTGATGGCTTGAGGTGTCGGCGGGAAGCGCTCGCGTCGCGCCCCTCTTTGTTAAGGCCAGGTGCCCATGGGAGTCCCTGGGGCTGCCCAGACCAACTGCTTCGGCCAAGCGTGGGGACACTCGGAAAAGGGCGGGAGCTGGGGAGTCGGGACTTCGCTTCACAGCCCCGGCAGGCTGGCGGGCATCCGGATCCCAGCGCGGGGAGTGCCCCGTGTGCGCCGCTCGGAGCTCCTGCCTGGAACGTGGGTCCGCAGGGACTGCGCAGAGAACCCGCCAAACATCCCCCAAAGTTTTTTATTTTTTTTTAATTTAAAATTTTCCTTCTCTTTTCCCGGTGCGCGCAGAGTGAGCGCACGGGCTAGGGGAAGTGAGGGGGGCTGGGAAGCGGAAGCTTTAGGCTTTTATTTTCCTCTTCAACTGTGAGGAAATCATTCGGCCCCTGAGTCAGTCTGGGCCCGGCGCACTTGGCAGTGGAGAGGATTCTTCCACATTCTCCATCCCTCCACCCACCCCAGTGGGTTCAAGGTGCCAGAAAGTTTGATCTAATACCGGGTTACGTCATGTGTGCGGAACAAGCTGCCAGAGTTGGCCCAACCAGGAGGTGGGAGCCCTTTGCTATGGCCTGGCGATGTGCAGCCGGAGGAACGCGCGGTTACCTGGAACTGTTTTGCTGGCGTCCCCGAAGCCCGCCGGGTACGCGGGAGACCAGAGGTGGGCGCCTGGGGCCATCCTAGCGCGCGTGCTGGACACCAGCCAGCCGCAGACGTCCCGTGTTTTCGGACCCTGAAAGTGGAGTGGGAAGGTTATCCAGAGTGCCCGGCGGGATCCTCCAGGTGTGGAGCAGTTCCGAACCTTTATTGTTTCCCGGCCTGTACACAGAAGTCGACCCCGCTGGGCGCATACAGCAATGCTTTCTCCGGGACAGAGGCCAGCTTCCAGCTGTGTCCTGATCACAGTGCCCTCCTAGGTACTATTTATTAAAATCATAGGTTTTCCCCTGGGCTGGAGAGGAAGTTGGGAAGAGAGAGGTGGGAGGCCGAGGGGTTAGCCTAGAGTTGCTGCGCGCCCCGAGTTCCAGCAGAGAGGGGGTCGGTGGTTACCTCTAATTTTTCCGGCGGGCTCTCTCCGCCTGCCTCCAGCCTCCCCTCGGCATGAAGGCAAGAGAGGGATTCCCTGCTTGAGTAATGTCAGTAATGAAGATGGGAAGATTTCCCCACTCGCAGTCCGCGGGTAACAGAATCGAAAGGGAGTTCCCCCAATCCTGCTAATCCAGGATAGTCTTACTCAGGTAGCCCGAGTCCTAAATGCACCGCTGAACAGGAGTGCAGATATTACTGAAAGTTTGGTTCAAAAAACAAGGGTCTCCTGGAGGTGGGTGGTGGAATGGGGAGCGATTTCTTCTTTGACATGCCACTTACCACTATTAAGAAAAGAGAAAAAGAAGCCATCCTGCCAGAGGAGATGCCTTTTATTAAAGCTGACAAGACAAATAGTGCAAGCTTTCCAGTTGTGATGGTGTTAAAAGCAAGTCTCATTATGTTGGTTGGTTTTATTCCCCCCGTTTGCGCTTTATTAGGCAGCATATACGAAGCAGAAATTGGATCTCTGAACTTTAGCACCTTACTAAATAAAGCAACACTGAAATAGTTTCGTTGAATTTGGAATATTTTGCTTTTGGTTGTCTTTTCTTTCCCACTCCAAACTCCACAGTGTGATCTTTTTCTCATGGCATTCATTTATTTGGATACTTGGGTGTTCCAGTCTTCCTGGGTTAAAACGGAAAGAACCAGCAACACCCCTACTCTAACCCCCCTTCTTAACCTGTCAAGCTAGTCTGAGTTAGTTTGAGGACATTTTATCTTAGGTTATCTCTGTTTTATGCTTTTGATACTGTTGTTTGGTTTGAGATTAGCACATTGATTTTTGTCACAGGTCACGTTTTTTAATAGATCTGCCCTGCCTGCAGAAAACTCTTCTGCTCGGGATGGCATGGAGGCTTTGAACCTGCCCAGACAAAGTTAATATGCAGAATTTTAAAATGCCAAGAGTATTTCTAAATCGGTATTCTAATTTCAGGTTTGTGGAAATACCTTTCTGTTTGATCATTATCAGTCTGATAATGTCAAAAAGAAAGAATGATGTACCCCTCTCAACCCCAAGAGAT